GCTCAGACTGGTCTCAAACTCTTGACCTCAAGCAATCAGCTCGCCTTGGCCTCCCAGAGTGCTAGGATTACGGGCGTGAGCCACCGGGCCTGGCCCATGTGATATCATTTTGTCTTATGATTAGTGATCTTAACTTTGAGCACTTGGTTAAGGTGATGCCTGCCAGATTTCCCCATTGTAAAGGTAACTTTTTTCCCCATTTATAATGAATAAGTAATCTGTAGGGAGATATTTTGAAACTGTGTAAACATTCTGTTTCAGAACAAATTTCACTAATGGCTTTAGCATCCATTGATGATTCTTGCCTGAATCAATTACTACTATGGTGGTTGCAAAATAGTCATTTTTCTAACTCTACCATCCCTCTACATTCATTAGTTGACGTTCAACTGTGAAACAAGGTTCCTCTCCCCCTTTCTTCCTTCCTTTTTCTATTTATTATTTGCATATCTATCTATCCACACAAATTCATGGACTCATTTGTGTTCAAAAAGTCTACTCTGACAAGCAAAGTGGTAAAGAATGTAAGGATTGTGCTTACCTTTGAAGATAATGTAGATATATACATATATACCTTATGAGTTGCTCATTTTGATTTTCAACTTGTTTCTGGCTTGACCAGTGGGAAACTGGCTTTCTGCTATTTGTATAGAAATACATCCTGGTAAACTTGAAAACAAATAAATTGATCAAGATCAAATAAATTTCTTCAGGTTTTTTGACTTTTAAAATATAAATTCAATAAGCAGTTGCTACATAAGACCATTACATTTCTGTGACATTTATTGAATTCTGATGCTAGATATTTTTGCATATTTGGCAATTTTTTGTATTTGGCCCTCATATGCACAAAATCAGATTAATCGGGCCTGGCGCGGTGGCTCACGCCTGTAATCCTAGCACTCTGGGAGGCCGAGGCAGGCGGATTGCTCGAGGTCAGGAGTTCGAAACCAGCCTGAGCAAGGGCAAGACCCCGTCTCTACTATCAATAGAAATAAATTAATTGGCCAACTAATATATATAGAAAAAAAAATTAGCCGGGCATGGTGGCACATGCCTGTAGTCCCAGCTACTTGGAAGGTTGAGGCAGGAGGATCGCCTGACCCCAGGAGTTTGAGATTGCTGTGAGCTAGGCTGACGCCATGGCACTCACTCTAGCCTGGGCAACAGAGTGAGACTCTGTCTCAAAAAAAAAAAAAATCAGATTAATCATAATCCTTGGTTCATGATATACTATCATTTTCCATGCATGGTTCATTTTTTTGTTTTTGTTTTTGAGACAGAGTCTCGCTTTGTTGCCCAGGCTGGAGTGAGTGCCATGGCATCAGCCTAGCTCACAGCAACTTCAAACTCCTGGGCTCAAGCAATCCTACTGCTCAGCTCCTGAGTAGCTGAGCAGGCATGTGCCATCATGCCCGGCTAATTTTTTCTATATATATTAGTTGGCAATTGATTTCTTTCTTATTATAGTAGAGATGGGGTCTTGCTCTTGCTTAGGCTGGTTTCAAACTCCTGACCTGGAGCAGTCCTCCCCCCTTGGCCTCCCAGAGTGCTAGGATTACAGGCATGAGCCACTGCGCCTGGCCTGCATGGTTCATTTTTATTTAGTTGGTTAATTATTTTTAAATAACTTACTAGAATTAGTTATAATTTAATAACTAATTAGTTATTTTAAAACCTGTGTACCTACAAACCCAGCACTCAAAACAAAAGCTAGAACAGGCAGTAACTATGACCTATCGATTCCACTTCTAGGTATGTACTTAAGAGAAACTTATTTATATACAAGAGGAGACATGTACAAGAATGCTCACAGCAGCACCACTTATAATAGCAAAAACCTAGAAACAAATGCCTATCAATGGAAAAGAACATGAATAAACTGTGGTGCATTCATATAATAGACTAAAACACCACACTCAAAATCAATAAACTATAGCGACAGGGAAAGGGGCATCCACCATAATATGCTGAAATAAATAAATAAACAAACATAGCCAAAAAAAAAAAAACCAAACAAACCTATATCGACATACAACATAATGGATTTTTTTTTTTTGAGACAGAGTCTCACTCTGTTGCCCGGGCTAGAGTGCCGTGGCGTCAGCCTAGCTCACAGCAACCTCAAGCTCCTGGGCTCAAGCAATCCTTTTGCCTCAGCCTCCCGAGCAGCTGGGACTACAGGCATGTGGCACCATGCCAGGCTAATTTTTTCTATATATTTTTAGTTTTCCAATTAATTTCTTTCTATTTTTATTAGAGACAGGGTCTTGCTCTTGCTCAGGCTGGTTTCAAACTCCTGACCTTGAGTTATCTGCCCGCCTGGGCCTCCCAGAGTGCTATGATTACAGGCGTGAGCCACCGCTCCTGGCCAACATGCTGGATCTTAACCAATACAATATTAAGCAAAAAGGTAAGGCCCTGAAGAATAAATATAGCTTAACATATTATTTATGAAGTTAAAGCACAAAATATTTTTTAAATGATGCTGTTTTAGGAATATAGATAGATACAAAGAAACTATATAACCAGGGAAGCAATGGAATGATAAAGAATGGGTTCAGGATTATGGCAACCTAGGATGAGAGAAAGCAGAGGGATGGGATGGGGTGCATGGACACATGGCTAGTGTAGGTTATTGTGATGTTTATTAATTGCTTTAAAGAAATACAGTATATATACATCCAGATTTGGACATAAGGAAAATCCTGTTTTCAAAAACTTTTATCTACAATTTTAGTTTTAGGATTTCCTGATAAAGCTGACTGACTTTCATGTAACTGTATGTTAAGACCCTGTCACGTTAATTGGGTGGCAGGTTGGGTCGTTCCCCAAGATGGCAAATGTGTTGAAGGCTGCGTAAGCCGCAGGTGAACACCTTGAGCCCTCGAGGGTCGTCGTGGGGCGGGCGTGTGAGACTGGAAGCTAGGGGGCGGAGGAGGCCACCAGGTGGCCAGAGCACCTAGATCTAATGAGTTCTTTCCCCAAGACGAGTTCCGCAGCCGCTGTCAACACCTGGGCAGAAGGGACCTTCCATGAATGCCTCCACTCAACACCGGGATTGCCTGAGCGTAGGCCAGTCTCACTGCTACCAGGGTACTGTGCGTGGTTGATGTTGCTACCTTTTAATGTGTGCCAGAGGCAAGGGGACTTGTCCAGCGTGTCAAGCAAAGCAGGGGGCAGGGACAGAAGTCAATCAAGTAAATGGATGAGCGATGGAGTTATTTTACTTCGCACCATGAGAGAGACTGGGAAGAAAGTAGAAAGGAGAGCAAATCCTGTAAAAGAAACTTAAGCTGATCTCCGAGCATGTCCAATATCGTGTTGAGAACGCTTGAAGGTCAGTGGTTTAAAGTATACCAAAACAGTGGTTTTTTTCCACCTGCAACAGTTACTGGAATAATCACATATTACACATTACAGAGTTTAGAGTAATGCAATTCTGCTGCATCTTTCTGAAATGAAGGCAGAGATCCTAAAACTAAAGAAAGAGTTGTAGGTTCCTGCCAATTAGATGGCAATCTGAAATAAAAAATCTTTAAAAAAATCATGTCGCATTAATTTGGGATTATACTGTATGACAAAAAATGAAGTGCATGCATTTATAGAAACAAAAGTTAGTGAAGTTCCAATTACTAATACTGCCCCTTTCTTAAAAATTGTGATCTGTTAGTAGGAGAATATAAGTTTGAACAGAGTATTTTTTATATAAATGAAATCATAAACTACATTAAAATGCTCTTTCATTTCACTTTAAATTCACAAAAAAGTTTTCTCCAGTTTGAAAATTCCTAAAAAGCATACATATAGATGTGTGTGTATGTGTATCTTTTTTTTTTTCTTGAAACAAGGTCTCACTCTGTTGTCCAGGTTGGAGTGCAGTGGTGCAATCATAGCTCACTGCGGCCTTGAATTCCTGGTCTCAAGCAATCCTCCTGCCTTAACCTCCTGAGTAGCTAGGATTACAGGCCCATGCCACTGCATCTGGCTAATTTTTATTTTTTTTTTTTTTTTTTTTTTGTAGAGACAGGGTGTCAATCTTCTGACTTCAAGCAATCTTCCTGGCTCGGCCTCGAGAAGTGCTGGAATTACAGGTGTAAGCCACTGTACCCTCCTAATTTTTGATAGTCATTAGTTTTTCATGGAGTTACCCTTGATCCTTTCTTATCCCTCATTGGCCATGTCCACTTCTTCACAGAATAGTGCTGATTCTATTGCCTTAACATTGTTCTAATATAAACTTGCTTGTTCTCTACAACCACTGTTCTAGTTTAGGCCTGGGCTTGTAAACTAGCAACCCAAGGGTCCACCTTCAGCCTAATTACAAGCTTTGTTTGGTTTGTGCAAGATTTAAATGTTTAAAAATTTGTTGCCATCATTTAAAAATTTGAAAATTGTTTTTAAAAATACAGGTTCCAGCTTTTTTGAAAAATCATAATAGCTGGCAACATTCAGTTACAGGAAGGTGAGACTTCCCATTATGGAAAAGGCTTTCCATTTCAGAGTTTCTGCCATTCCTTGAACTGGTTCACTTCACTCAATGGTATTACTTGTTTGTCCCCTATAATGATTTCCAGTTTCCAGTATCTATTCTTCCACCCTTACCTCCAACATAGCACCCAAGTCACCCCCTTTCCACACTGTCAAAATTAGCTTTCTCATCAGGTTTGATCAAATCACTTAATTTGCATATCCTTGATTTGCTAATTCTTTCTTTCTTTTTTTCTATTTTTAATTGGCCAATTAATTTCTTTCTATTTTTTAGTAGAGACGGGGTCTTGCTGTTGCTCAGCTAGTATCGAACTCCTTAGCTCAAAGGATCCACCCGCCTCGGCCTCCCAGAGTGCTAGGATTACAGGCATGAGCCACTGCGCCCGGCCTTTTTTTCTTTCTTTCTTTATATTTTTTCTGATTTGCTAATTGCTTTCAGGATAAAATCCAAACGTCTTAAAATGGCACTTCATGATCTGGTCTCCCTGACCAGAATGCTTACACCATTCTGTTCCTTACTCCTTCCCAGCTTTGACTAAGAATCAGTAGTTCCAGGATGTAGTGTGACAGGGGTGAGTGAGGGTCCGCAGCGGTATAGAGACTATAGTTAACTGGAGCTTGAAATGCCGGTTCCCAGCCAGGTCAAAGCCTGTCCAGCGAGTTGCCGGAGTTTGGAGTCCATCGCGAGCTTGGCCTCGGATTGGATAGGGCGGTGCATGCCGGGAGCGGTTTGGCCTTTGAAAGGTTTGCTGGGAGTTGTAGTTCTTGGAGCCGGAAGTGGGGGTGGCAGGGATAGAAACCGCAGCTGAGACAGCAGACGCTGACGCTGCTGCCACTCGGGTGTAGCGCATCACCCCGAGCCCACTAGCTTAAGGTTTCTCCTCTGTCCCCGGGGAGCTCCGGGAGCCCTGAGGGGCGAAGCAACAGAGACGCCTCTCTTCAGCGGGAGGCGGCCTCGCAGCCCCGGATGCGGCTGGAGGGCGCGGGAATGGACCTTGGCGGCTGCGAGGAGCGCCTGCCGGAGGAGAGCAGGTGGGCTGTGAGCTGGCGGGGGAGTCAGGGGCTTTTGGATGTGCCGAAGCGCCTGGAGGCTTGGGAGGGCTCAAGGGCACGGAGACTTGAAGTGCTGGGCCGGACAGATGTGAGAGCGACAAATGCGGCGGACTTGTTTGGGAAAAATTTAGGAGCGGAGGGACGGGCAGGGCGTGGATAGGACCAGGGAAGGGGCTTAGTGAGGGTGGGGGAGAGTAGGTAGGATTTGTTGAGGGCAGGGGGAGCAGAAAAGGGTGAAGTTCAGATCCAAGGTTGCTGGAGAGGAGGTGGATATTGAGAGTCTGGGAGAAAAGAACTGAAGTGCTGTAGTGAGATTTTATAGGCCAGAGTCTATAGGTAGGAGCAGGGGTTGGTGCCCTGACTGAAACTTGCGGTGACAGCAAGTGGGGACAGTGTTAAGAGGGTGATTGTTGTAAGAATTCCTTGGAGCAAAGGTTAAGTGAGTGGCCTAGGAAGAAGCTTAAGTAGGGATAAATGTGGGGAAGAAGGCTAGAAGGAGGGCCTGTGGATGAAAGTGAGCGATTATAATGGCAATGGGGTGGGGGTGGGGGCTTGCTCATGAGACCAGAAATTGTGTGCCCTTTGTCAATGCAGGGTCCTTGTCAGAGAGTGGCAGGACCTCTCTGTCATTTCCTTTTCATCTTCAAACCTTTCACTTATTCCTCACAGTGCAACCTAAGCAAGTTCACATTTATTTACATGGAACGATTGTCAGAAAGTTGTATCTTCTAGAAATTAGGAAATTTAAGATTTTGAAATCTACTTTGAAGGATGAATTGGACTCTGTAGAGGTGCTTCCCATATTTAGGGTTTCCTTCATTAGGAACTCTGTGCTTCACTTCTTAAGAGGCTAGAATGGAATGTGGCTTAAAGGGAGTCACTTAAGATTTAGAAACAGTTTCAGATACAGTGATGGTCTCAGGAGCAGCTGGGGTCCAAAGACTGGAGGCAGATTTACCTCTGAGAAAATATCAACAGGAAAATCAATGAGATGTTGTGCCTGGGTGAAGACTTGCTATTTTTAAGGGTGACTCTACTTTTATGTACACAGGTAGCCTGTGGCCTGATGTACAAAACATGGACTGACAGGACTTTGGGGTTCCTGCCAGAGATCTATGAATGATGTGTACTAAGTGAAACTGAACATCTTACTTCCCTTTTCCATGTTTCAGTTTCTGCTTATGTATATTTGGCTATTTATTCTTCTTCCAGATGTCTGTGAAATGCTTCATGTAAAATGTCCCATGTAAATTCTACACAAGTTTTAGGGTTATTTTTATTTTCCTCTACAGTTCATGTGGCGGAGGCTGAATTAGAAATTGAGGTTCAAATTTCTTCCCCATCTGGCTGGAATTGGGTTAGTTATTTATTTAATGTACTTAACAAACACTTATTTACCACATGTCAAACACTGTTTTAAGATATTAAGATATACTGTATTAATTTATTTAATCCTCCTAACTACTGTATGAGATAGGTACTATTATTATCACCATTTCACAGATGTGGAAACTAAGACATGGATAGGATAAGTAACTTGCCAGGGTCATATAGCAAAATCCTAGAGGAACTGGGATTCAAACCCAGGCAGTCTGGCTCCAGAGTCTACACTTTTATTTGTAAAGACAGGGTCTCACTATTGCCCAGGCTAGTCTCCTGGCCTCAAGTGATCGTCCTGCCTTGGCTTCCCAAGGTGCTAGGATTATGGGTATGAGCCACTGTGCCCATCCAGACTCTATACTTTTAAAACTATGCTAATAGTGACAAAGAAATGTGCAATATAGTGAATAAATTTTATAGCATTCTGTGCCTGTCACTCAGGCTAGTAGTAGGACAGCTTCTTTGCAGGTATCTTTGCCTGTCTATTCTTTTTATGCTTGCCTCTGAACCAAAGAACTTTAATCAAAATTTAATTTCAGGCTGGACGTGGTGGCTCACACCTGTAATCCTAGCACTTTGGGAGACCAAGGTGGGACGATGGCTCAAGGTCAGGAGATCAAAACCAGCCTGAGCAAGAGTAAGACCCTGTCTCTACTAAAAATAGAAAGGAATTAATTGGCCAACTAAAAATACATAGAAAAAATTAGCCGGGCATGGTGGTGCATGCCTGTAGTCCCAGCTACTTGGGAGGCTAAGGCAGAAAGATTGCTTGAGCCCAGGAGTATGAGGTTGCTGTGAGCTAGGTTCATGCCACGGCACTCTAGCCTGGGCAACAAAGTGAGACTCTGTCTCAAAAAAACCCCACAAAAATCCCACTTAATTCCAGCAGTGGATTCATCTCCACAAAGTCACTTAGATTATTGTTATAGGCCTGCTCTGTTGGTGGCTGGTTAATTCAGAATATGTTGTTTAATGAAGCTTCGTGGTACTGATGGCCTCCTTAGCTCCAGATAGACAACTTGTAAATACATGCCTTGGGCCTGTTAATTAAGATGTGTGGCTAGGTCACTGCATAACCTTTCTATGGCCAATAAAATATCCAATTCAGAAACAATCTTCATGATGAGATAGCATCATTTTTAAAATGAAGGATAAAACTTTTCAGTAATATATATATATATAATGCTATCAACTGCGGTAAGGTTAACCTCGAGGGCGGGCGGCCAATCTGACATACGTAGGTCTCATGAAGTAGTACTGCATGTTGTATCAACCAAGAGCTCATGATAGCCGAAGAGAACATGTCTAATACCAATTATTTGTAAATCTTTCTCACATGGTCTGAGGACGCCACAGGAAACTCCCAATGACTCACTCCATCCCCTTCTATACATAACGTACCCCGTCACCAATTAATGGCGCATCTAAAAATATATACGAAAAAATTAGCTGGGCATGTTGGCGCATGCCTGTAGTCTCAGCTACTCGGGAGGCTCAGGCAGCTGGATTGCTTGAGCCCAGGAGATTGAGGTTGCTGTGAGCTAGGCTGCATCGGCACTCTCTAGCCTGGGCACAAAGTGAAACTGTCTCAAAAAAAAAAAAATACATAGAATAGATTAGTGATTACCAGAGGATGGAGAGGCTAGGGAGAGAAGGGAATGGAGAGAGATTGGTCAACAGGTAGAGGGGAGAGGACAATAGAGAAAGATTGGTTAATGACAAGTATAGAGTTACAATTAGGAGGAGTAAGTTCTGGTATTCAATTGCAGCAATCCCCAGCCTGTTTGACATCAGGGACTGGTTTCATGGAAGACAATTTTTCCATGGACTGGGGGTATGGGGGAATGAGAGATCGTTTCAGGATGATTCAAGCACATTACATTTATTGTGCACTTTATTTCTATTATTATTACATTTTAATATATAACGAAGTAATTATACAACTCACCATAATGCCGAATCAGTGGGAGCCCTGAGCTTGTTTTCTTGCAATTAGTCAGTCCCATCTGGGAGTGATGGGAGATAGTGACACTGAAGTGTGTTGCTTATGTCTAGTCTACTCTGTAATCTTGTTTCGGTTGCTGTCACTGCAGAAAACCCTGCTTCACAAAGATAGTATATTGGAAATGGAAACAGGCTTTTCAGTGCTTTTGTAGCAGTCAGGATTTTCTGTCTTGATTTTAATCCAGAATGTATGAAGACTTGAAGTTGTCTTAAAAATACTTTTAAGGCCACCATCATTTGCAATCTCAAGCAGTTGATCCTCTTCTAGCATGTACGGACAGAGTCGATTCACCTGGCTTATTCACAAATGGGTTGCAGATCCATTCCTTCCTTGTTGCGGGGGGCGGGGGGGGGTGTCTTTTGTGATTGGGAATTACTGCTCAGACTCTGTTGAAAGTTGAGATAGGTGATCACGCACTAGCTGGGAGAAAGAAGGCCCTGGCTCAGTTTTTTTCAAGATCTCTGCTAATGTTTGAAACATGTCAGAAATCCTAATGTTCACTCGTTGCCCCCATAATTCCAGTTTTTTTGTGTTTTTTTTTTGAGACAGAGTCTTGCTTTGTTGCCCAGGCTAGAGTGAGTGCCGTGGCGTCAGCCTAGCTCACAGCAACCTCAAACTCCTGGGCTCAAGCGATCCTCCTGCCTCAGCCTCCCGAGTAGCTGGGACTACAGGCATGCGCTACCATGCCCGGCTAATTTTTTCTATATATATTAGTTGGCCAATTAATTTGTTTCTATTTATAGTAGAGACGGGGTCTTGCTCTTGCTCAAGGTGGTTTCGAACTCCTGACCTTGAGCAATCCACCCGCTTCGGCCTCCCAGAGTGCTAGGATTACAGGCGTGAGCCACCTCGCCCGGCCCTCACTAATATATTTTATGAAAGCAGTTGATAACAGTGAAATGTGCATAAGCTTTAAAGCCAGATAGACCTGTATTTGAATCCTAGCTCCTCTGCTTAAGTTGGCTCGATCAAGTTACTTAACCTGTCTGAGTGGGAAGAATAATAATTGCCTTCCTGCCTGTGAAGATTCGATCAAACAATGTGCATATAAAGCTCCTTCGTTAGTGCCTAGTATGTATGAAGTGTAAAAAAATGTCTACTTCCCATTCCCGTCCCAGTTTTTTGAAATAAGGTGGGTGTGTGCTCCACAAGTTACTATTTGCAATGGTATAACTTGTTTTTCTTCTTTCCATGGCTTCTCCATCTGAGTTGATGGAATGTTGGCTTCTCTATCTGGAATGTTGACTTAGCTTTTAACTTCACCTTAGTATAGTTATGTCATAGATTTCCCTATTGTCTTCCATGTAGCTGTCACTCTAGCAAAATGCTGTAATACTTAGGGATGATACCTAACTTTCCCTAGGGTTTCCTAAAGGCCAGTTGTTTGGAGATTATCTGGTGAAACTACTAAACATTCAAAGGGATGGTCCTTCTACCATTGCTCTGTCATTGTAGACTGCCTTGGCTCTGCAGTCTACTTCTGAGCTTGGAACTCAGATGCATGCATTGCTCAGTTTTCCTGGTGCAGTGATCCAGATAGAGTCAGAATTCAAGTAGCAGGATACTTTTTAGCGTCTCCAAACTAAGCTTATTG